CCCCAAAACCCCAAAACCCCAAAACCCCAAAACCCCAAAACCCCTGTTTAGTGTAGTATCCATAATTGAGGACCTTAAAAATTTAAATTAAGATATGAAGAAAAATGTGGTTTTGAAAAAATGAAAGATTTTCAATGTAGTTATTGAAAGGCATTGAATGTTATATAGGAAAGGATTAGGTTAAAATTCTTAAGAATAAGTAGGATTTAGGTTTGTTAAGAGGATTGCACTCAGAATAGCTTGGTTGGACCGTAGTAATTAGCAGTGAGGAGATCGGTGAGACCATCAATCTCATCTGAGAAGGTTGTTCCCCAGTAGTTGTCATTAGACTCTTGTTCGTAGTCATCATCGAATTTAACATCTGATGAACTTGGATATGGGTCGTTGTTGTCCATATCACGCATCCATCTAACCAATGAAGTCTCAAAGGTTTGAGCATTTTCTTTAACGGTGGTAGTGAATGAAAGAGCTCTTCCCATTCTATCTCCTTGGACATAGAAATGGAAGTCGTTATCTGACTCTGGTCTCACCCATGAGAGATGTTGATTGTAGACCTCCCAATAGAGTGGCTCGAAGAAGAAATCTCCATGCCACTTGTAGAATCTAGTAACGGTTGCTTCAAGATAGACTGAAGCAAATGAGTAGATATGGAGTCCGTAAATCTCCTCTTTGCTTGGGTTAACATTATTAATTTTGTAGTGGGAGCCATATCCGAAGTCAGCTTGAGCACCGTAGCCAAGAGCGTATTGTTCCTCTTGAACAAGATACTTGAGGGAGGCGTCATCATTAGGCCAGAACCATCCTTGTGATTCATTAGCAACGGCTAAACCTAAGAAAAGAGCAAGAACTAAAGCTTTGTTCATCGTAGAATTATATTAAATATTATTAATGTCATAGCAAATCCAGTTTTTATAGTTCAATCTAGCAGATAAATTACCAACCTCTACCGATTGTAATTTGCTAATATTCATCAGGCTTTAATTTCATTAAAATTTTATAGAATAGCACCTATTTTAACATAATGGGGTTTTGGGGTTTTGGGGTTTTGGGGTTTTGGGG